AGGCTGGTGGTCACACAGTGACATGTCTAAAGGCAGGCACCATGAACCAAAGGCAGGCAGATGCTGTTAGAGCTTTATCTCCCAGTTTCCTTGCTGCTCCTCTGTCCTGCACTGGATCAGCCTCATTATTCCTGAAGCTTCCTCCACACCCTGCCTGCCACACAACATTCCGATCGCACTGCTGGCCAAGTGGCAAGGCCAAAGTCTTGATGAGGTGCTTAAAGCCCTCCTTCAGTTATTCCCTAAATATGGCAACAACCACCCTGAGGCCCCTACCAAATTCCACTCCTGTTCATGGCATCTTGCTAAATGTCTGGATCAGATGTCAGTGAGGAAGCTCATCCCTCACCATGGCTCAGTGGCACTATCACATGCCACTAAATGCTCTCCTCATCTGACCTTAGCACCAGCTTCACTGACACTGATCAGGAAGAATTATTTCATTACAGGAAAGGTTGTCAGGTATTGGAATGAGCTGCCCAGGGTGGTGGTGGAGTCACCATCCTCAAAGGTGTTCAAGAAGCACCTGGATGTGGCACTCAGGGCTCTGGTTCGGTTGACAAAGTGGTGATCCGTCACAGGTTGGACTTACTGACCTTTGAGGTCTTTTCCAACCTCAGTGATTCTGTGACAGGTTTCAGAAGAGACAGACTTTTTTTGTGCACACATGTATCTCTCAGGAGAGTGCTCTGACATGTGTTTTGTTCCCTAATGGGAGGTGAAGGGCAGTGCCTGGAGAATGGCTCAGTGCACTGCAGCCAGCACCACCTCCACCAGACCAGCAGTGTCTGCAGCTGGATAGGCCAGCGAGCAGCCAGCAGGAGTGCCACGTTCTCCTTACAGAGACCAAATTAAAAGAGCACACAAAGAGGAATACGTTCATGCTGTTCAGAGCAGCATTAAGTCCCCTCTGTGTCCAGTGACCCCACACCAGATGGGTCACAGCGCACAGCTGCTGGCACCCAGTCCTTGCCTGCAGAGCCACCCAAGAGACCATAGAATCTCTCTCTTCCCTGAGATCCAAATTTCAGACCCCCCAGTCCAGCCAAGCCCACTCTTATTTGTACCCTCTCTGAGCCCTCTCATCTTTTGAAAGGCTTGGTTTTCCCTTCCACAGCCTTTTCTTTACCCTGCCTGTACATAGAGCATGGTGCAATTGTTCATAAAGCTCTGGGAGATGAATGGTGTTATATAACTGCTTGTTACTGTTTTATCATTTTTTAGGATGATGGAAAAGTAAAAGGGAAATGTGGACTACCCTTGGGGCCAGGCTAAGCAAACTGAACTTACATTACCAGTGAGCCAAATGAACATTCACTTCAGCATCTCCAAGAATGCATTTTAGTGCGCAGTGTCCCATGTGAGAGGACAAGCCATTAATAACTACAGCAAGTGTGGGGTGAGGGAGCTTCCCTGTTGCAGCTCCTAGCCAAAAGAGTTTACAAAAAAGTATTGGTTGGTTGTTTGGCTGGGTTTGTTTGGAGTTTTTTATGTCTGCAATGATTGCTATTCATTAAGCTCTGGTATCTTGATGCTTTTGATATAGGAAAGAGGTCTGATTCAGCCTGCAGTTCATTCCAGGTCAGCTAGCATAAAATCAATAGTGGTTAGGATGTATTTCCTTCTTGTGATGGGCTTGGAAGAGAAAACTCTCCTCCTGTCTCACATTTCCAGGAGCCTTCTTGGAGGGATTCAGTTCTCTCTTACTTTCACACTCTTTTGCAGCACAAATTTGCATCGGCACATTACGTGACTGTATCACAAATGCACATATTTGCCCCAAAATCCAAGAAGAAACAATGGCTCCAAGCTTTCAGCTTAGTTTATAACTCATCTTTAAATAACCATCAGAGAATCAAAGAATACCCTGAGCTGGAAGAGACCCACAAGGAACATCCCAGTCCAACTCAGGATCTCAAACCTCAAAATCATAAAGATCGGTGCATCTAAAACACCTGCTGAAAATTGTGTTGGTTTAAGAATGTGTCCATGCTAAATGCTCTGTTGAACTGGGCTCTGACCACGTTCCTGGTCACATTACTCAGTATTTGCCAGCAGTACCTCTCATTAGAAAACAATTTCTTTAGTGTTCTATAAGCCAATAGAAATAATGCAATATAAAATATAAAATATTTTGTAAAGGTGTCAAAACCGAATTTGCCTGAACTGTGCTTAACAACTGTTTAGAAACACAAACCAAGCAAATATTTTTAACAATACTAAAATAATTATTTGTTTTCTTTCTAATGAAAAGATCTGGGTTTTTGTTATGGAAAAACACAGCATATTCAAACAGAAGGTTGAATTTAATTTCCTGTCAGATGAGTGAGCTCAGGCAGCTCCAGGATGAGAAGGCAGCACTTTAAATTGTGCTTCCATGAGGAGAGAACCAGTTCAGCAAAAGCAACAAGTGGATACATTGGTGTAGAAGAAGAAAAGTAAAAAAGGAGGAAGTCCAGGCCTTCCCTTTGTATCACCAAGATCAGCTTGACCCACGCCCCATAACCCTGATCTGCTTTCACTGACATCAGCTTGCAGCAAATACTACAGAGATGTAATCCCAATTCCTAAAATCCTTACACAGGATTCCAAAAAAATGGCTGCATGGACACACTGCCTCTCCTCTGAGGAGCCAACAGCCCAATCCAACACAACGTACAGCTGGAAGACCAGACTCTGGTGGTCAGGAAAGTGGGGGTAGTAGTTCACAAAAAAACACCCCAAAACCTCACCCTGAAAGATTCACTGCAATTGTTTGGTACTTACTCAGGCAAGTCAGATGGATGTGATCATTGAGGGCAAATCAAAGCACTTGTCTGAGCAAAAGCCTTACTCTAAGTCCATCATTGATGCAGATCTCAGCACGTGCAGTGGTGTTACACCACTTCTTTGTTTCATCTGAGATTCAGCCTCACCAAAGAGCTGATTCTGCCCTTCCCCCTGGTACAAAAACTGCCACCAAAGCAAAGTGGAGATCTCCCTGAGTCTGGAGTGCAGCTGCACTGGGCACTTTTCCTGTCAGTCTTGTTTCAGACAGCTCCTCACCACATTACAGTCTCATTCCCCATCCAAATAAACAAGCAAACCAACCAAGAAACCAACATCTATAATTCTAAAATTAATGTGAAAGATGCTGTTCTCTATTATGAGATTCAAAGTCCTTCCCCTCAGCTTTGGGTTTTTGGGCTGAGCACACTGTTCATGAAAAGCATGACTGCTTAGCACTTATTTTACTGACTAGGAAGGAAAAAATCATCATGCATTACCATTAAATTAAATTTAAGTTAAATTAAATTAATCATGGGCATTATCATAAAAGAGCACAGTCAGGCACAGGAAAGCAGCATTTGTGTCTGGGGGAGAGAGTGTCAGAGCGCTGCTCTGGAAAGCTGATCTCAATTTATCTCTGGACATAGATGAGGTACTTGAATAAATTATAATCCCAACTGAGCACTTATTTATATTAGAAAATTTGTTAGAAACAAACCTTGAGCAATGTTGACAATCAAACCTTCTCTTCCCTGCTACTCTTGCTGTGTCACAGGATGTGGGAAAGGCATGGAACATCCTTCAGCAATAAAACAGAAGTTGAAGGGGGAAACAGAGATGTCCTTTCCAAGAGAAATGGTAAGAAAGCTCTTTGAGCTAAAGGTGCAACTTTGTGTCAGTCTTCAGAATAAGCTGTGATCTTGATGAATGTGTCACTCGTCTTTCAACAACACCTCAACTGTAAAATCCACAGCACTGAGAAGGTTTTGTTTGGAAATAAAAGAAACCAGGGGTGTGTTTTGATGAAAAGATAGTGCTTTCCACCCATGTCCAAGAGAAAAGCCACACGATGGTTATTTAGCAGCACGGCACGCTGTGTTCAACTCCTGAAGTGCCATCAACTCCCGGTCTAAGATAACCAAATCCAGAGAACTGTGTACACAAATGGTGTGTGCAACATAAAGGTGATTGATACACACGCTCAAGAAACCTGGAGCGTACAATGAAAGGAGTTTTGCAGATATTGCACTCAATATTCTACTTTCTCATTGTGCCTATCCACTCCCTCATGTTTTTGATCTGTTGTGCACTTGAAAATCTGTTCAGATCGCTTTTGATCTGTTGTGCACTGGATTGAAACCAGTAACAGTATGTTTTTTTCCTTTCAGTCTCAAAAATATAACAAAGGTATAAAACTGTAAAACCACAAAAAAAAAAAAAAAAAAAAAAAAAAAGCTGCACATACTTTTTTTGAGTGGGGCCGGTAAGCACATGACTGAATTACTTAGAAATTCTGAAAGAGGAAGGTAACTAGTAAAATTATTTATAAAGAAGAATATCTACAATATTTAATAATTTAAGGCTCACAAGAAACTAACATATCAATGACAACAGAAGTTTTCTGCTCTAGGGCTCAAAGCACCAAATTCACTTCACATACAAGATAACCAGATCTGTACTGATCACTAGTGGAAAACTCAGTGCTGATCTGCTAATGTTCCTAGTGCTTTAATGATATCATATTTCACAGGAATAGGAAATCTTTCAACCATAAATACAGTCATACAGATACAAAATATATCTGAATAATTTCAGTTTGAAACTACAGTACAAAACCCCTCAACCTCCCCCCTCCCATCCCCAATCCAGTCATTCTCCACACACACATCCCCCAGTTCTTTATACTAAACTCAGGGCAACTGAATTGGTTACAAATTATCCATTTAAAACCAATGACCATTTGCTAAAATAGGTTTCTACAAATTAGATTTTTCACTGTCATAATTTACCAGCTCCTGCATCATGGAGCGTAGCTTATTCTTAGTCTATTTTAAAAATAGGTGACCCTTTGTGTCATGGAAAAAGAACATAAAAACATGTATTCCTGGAGGACTGCTCAGGACAGTGATCAATTTATAAAATACAGCCTGACTTAAAAAACTAATTGGTACTAAAATAATAATTATAGTAGCAAGTTTTTGACACCAGAAAATCCTTCTGCCCCTCTGAACTCTAATTGTCTCCTTTCCTCACAGGTCTGTTTCCCTATTGGTGTCCAGACAGAGAGCATAGAGGGATTTTCTGAGATCTACGTTACTTTTCGCTTTGATATTGGCTTTCTCTAAGGAGCTGGTGCCACTGTTGAACTCCTCACTGTTTTCCAAGTGCACAACAGATTTGTTTAGAGAGTTTTTACTGGGTCTTCTCTTCACTTCCCCCCCGCCAGTGCTGCCCTGAGCACTACTGTGTTCATCTTTGAGGATAGCCTGCTCTTCGTGGTCAGTCTCTCGGTGGTAGAAGTAGTTGAAGTTGGACACGATGACAGGTACAGGCAGGGCAATTGTCAGCACACCAGCAATGGCACACAAGGAGCCCACAATCTTGCCCCCCACAGTGACAGGTCTCATGTCCCCATAGCCCACGGTAGTCATGGTTACTACTGCCCACCAGAACGCATCAGGGATGCTGGAGAAATGAGACTCAGGGTCATCAGCCTCAGCAAAGTAGACAGCGCTGGAGAAGAGGATCACCCCAATGAAGAGGAAGAAGATGAGGAGACCCAGTTCCCTCATGCTGGCTTTCAAAGTCTGTCCCAAGATCTGCAGCCCCTTGGAGTGCCTGGAGAGCTTGAAAATCCTGAAGACTCTGACCAGGCGGATGACTCTGAGGATGGCCAGGGACATGGCTTGCTGCTGGCCCCCACCCCCATTGCTGCTGCCAGCCCCGGGCTGCTGCTGCTCATGGGCCAGCTCGGTGCCCAGGGTGATGAAGTAGGGGATGATGGCCACGATGTCGATGATGTTCATGATGTTGCGAGAGAACTCGGGCTTGCTGGGGCAGGCGAAGAAGCGCACAAGGAGCTCGAAGGTGAACCAGATCACACAGGTGGTCTCGATGATGAAGAAGGGATCAGCCAGGCTACTCGGTGGCTGCATGGGTGGGGAGTCCCCGGGCGTGCCATTCAAACCTCCTCCTTGGGGGGGCAGGGGTACGGGCATCTCCCTCTCGTCCCTGAACTCGGGCAGGGTCTCCAGGCAGAAGGTGATGATGGAGATGAGGATGACCAGCACTGAGACGATGGCGATGGCCCGGGCTGAGCTGGAGCTCTCGGGGTACTCAAAGATGAGCCAGACCTGGCGCTGGAACTCATTGCGAGGCAGGGGCTTCTCCTCCTCTTTGATGAAGCCCTCGTCCTCTCGGAAGCGCTCCATGGCCTCCTCGCCCAGCTGGTAGAAGCGGATCTCGTCGGCGAAGACGTCGATGGAGACGTTGACGGGCCGGCGGAGCTTGCCCCCGGACTGGTAGAAGTAGAGGATGCCGTCGAAGCTCGGCCGGTTGCGGTCGAAGAAGTACTCGTTGCGGAGCGGGTCGAAGTAGCGAATGCGCTTGTCGGGGTCGCCCAGCAGCGTGTCGGGGAACTGGTTGAGGGTGCCCAGCTGCGTCTCGAAGCGCAGCCCCGAGATGTTGATCAGCACCCGCTGGTGGTGCATGGGGCCCGAGTTGGCCGCCGCCGCCGCCTCCTCCTCCTCGTCGCCCGCCGCCGCCATGGCCATGCCCCGGCGGTGTCCCCCCTCCTCGGGCGGCCCCATGTCCGCGGCGGGGCGCGGGGCGCGGGGCGGCGGCCGCGGCGGGGGCGCGGGGGCTGCGCGGGGCTCCGCCGGCCGCTCGTCGGGGCCGCCCGCGCCGCCGCCTCCTGCGCGGGGACCCGGCGGGGGCCGCTCCCGCTCCTCGTCCCCCGCGGGCGGCGGGCCCGGCGGGGCGCTCTCCTTGCCGTCGCTCAGCTGGGGAGAGCCGGCGAGGTGCAGCAAGTTGCCCCGCCAGCGCGCCCGGTCGCCGGCGGCCGCGGCATCGTCGCCGCCCGCGATGGCCGTGGTTCCGCCGTTCTCCAGAGTCACCAGCGCGATCTCCATGGGCAGCAGCGGCGGCGGCGGCGGCGGCGGCGGCGGGAGGCAAGCGCGTCTGAGGCGGCGGGCATGCTGCGCTCGCCGCGCCGCTGCCGCCGCCGGCCACCTCCGGGCGGCCGCGCTGCCCTGCCCTACCCTACCCTGCCCTGCCCTGCCCTGCCCTGCCCAACCCGCCTCCCCTCACTGAGCCGCCGAGCGCGGCCGAGCGCGGCCCGGGGGAGCCGCCCGGGGACCCGGATATGAACGAGCGATCATTATAATATGGTCGCTTGACGTCAAAGAGGATTCCTCCTGCTCTGCGCCCCCGCGCAGGCAGCGGTAGCATCCCCCGGGGAGCCGGGATGCCACATCCCCCCGCGCCCCGCCCCGCCCCGCCCCGCCGAGGGGCTCCGCGCCGAGAGGCGGACGCGCTCGGGCAGGGGGGCCCGGCCATGGAGATGCCCACAGGTGCCCTGGCGAGGGATGCGCGGCGGGGGCACCGCTCCGGAGGTGCGGGAGCACCTGCGCCCGGGCAGGGGGCTGGGGATGCCCTCCGGACCGGGGTACCGGGGCACGGCGCTCTCCGCTCCGCAGCCCTCGCCCCCGCCAAACCGGGGGATTACGGAGCGGCCCCCGCGCGTGGGTTTGCTCGCAGCGAGCGCTTCTGGCTGCAAACCCCCAGTCACCTCTAATGAAAATCAGAACTGAAATCCCCGGGGACTCCTGGCGCCTCTTGGCGTGTGTTCCCCCCTCCCCATTCCCCAGTGGAATAAGAACAAAGGAAGGGATTGGGTACTATTTTTTTCCGCTTTGCGTTTGCTCTCCCGGCTCCTGCTCCCTCGAGTTTCTCGCTAAATTAGTGCTGCTCCAAAAGGTGCTTCCCAAGCCAGCAAATAACATTTCTGCCATGCGGCTTTCGTGTTAACATTTTCAAACACTTTCCATTGATGCATTCTTAAACCCACATCCAAGGCTAAAATATTTCAGTAGATGTACCTTTTATTTAGAGAGAAGCGAGCAGCTTTACACAATGACTTCAATTACAGTCCAGTAATACATTTGATGCCAAGATCTTACTTTCTATATTCAAGCCACAAACTCATCCATTCTATTCATGGTGTGCAGGGAAATACACTATATATGTACAGAACGTGTAGGTATATATGCACCACTCCAGTCTTGTGGAGTTTCTGGTTTTCTAACAAAATTGAGTGTGACCATTTTGCCTTCCAGTTGGCATCAGTGACATTTTTTCCTAAATCCTTATAGTACTGCACATAGCTCCATCAAACAGTCCATTTAGATTCATTGTGACTAGTGGCTTTCCCTTAATTTAAAACATTACCTCTGTGTATGAAATATGCCCAATGATATTAAAAGCAGTGACAAAATAGAAAACCATAATTGTATTAAACGGTTTTGGTAACTGGTGGCTTGCATTTTATCTCCAAGAACTGAGCACTGAGAACTGAGAAATGCCAACCTGTTTTGCCACCATGCCAGTCAAGTAAAGGACAGCTATACTCACACAGGTAATTTCTAGAAGCAAAATAACATCGAAGATAAGTTCTTCTTTGAAAATAAGGGTCCTTTGATTTACAGTTATTTTGTGAGATATCAAACTGGCAAAACATAGGATAACATCCTTTGGGACTAGCAAAACCCATAATAAATACAGACACACCACAGATAGACCTGTGCACCCCAGCAAGGAGCGGCTGATCTGCTACCAATGCACATCGGGGATTACCAGAGCAGGGCTTGCACACTCAAGAACTATTTTGGTTTTCCAATTCTCTCAGCTCCTGTTATTGCAAGGCATTCTCCCTCCAAATATTGCCTCAGGAACTATGTATTTCAGGAGAAAACAGTCTAGACATCTGTGATAGCGGGCACAACACAGAGCAAAATTAAGTGTTCAGAGGAGGAGTAACTTGCTGCCTCTCATATGGTTGTATCCATTCTGCCATTCCTTCATCAATAGCAGGGAATGCCTGGGAGGGACCATGCAGAATTTAAGTTCCAGTTCAGGTATCTAGCCTAAGTTTCAAGTTGCAGTGTTCACATCCTGAATTTGAAGCCAGATGGGATAATGCTAGTGCAAAGAAAGACTTGCCCAAATTTACCTTGATGAAAGCCTTGCAGAAACCCCTATGGAGAAAATGTACATTAGTAATTGATAGATCAGAAAAATGCAGCTGCTTGTATAGCATTTGAATAACTTGTAGCTACTTTCTTTACACCTTTAAAAGGTCTGAGAATCTATCACAGTGTCTATACGTGTGGACGCAAAAGAAGAGCAGAGAAAAGGGACAAGAGAAAGTGGGAGGATGATGTTAAAGGGGAAGGAAGATCTACTCCAAGCAGGGAATTTTAATGGATAATTTTTATTTAATAGCCTTCATTTTTTCAGCTTAGTGTAAAGACCCTGAACACTCTCTTGTAAAGCAGCAGAAAGCCAAGGTACTGGAGAGTAAGGATGACATGCAGACTAGGGAAGAACAGTGCAGAGATGTGCTACTAATGTTTTAACCAGGCACTCCCTGAAAAGAATTTGTTTGTCCACATACTTGTGATTTAGCCAGAAGTCAGTCTTTTACACTCCAGCACATCCACAACAAAACCTAGCATTCATTGCAGCTCCCTCTGCTCCTCCAGTTCCCACTGTGGCATTCCATAGCAGGTGTGGCTGCTGTGAGCTGTCCTTCAGTGTCCCACAGTGAGATGAAGGACCCATTCCATGGGGAGGTTCCCCATGCTGAGAAATGAGCCGTGGGGACAGTCTGCAGGGGCTGCATTAGCCTACCCGAACCCAAACACACTTATTCACTGTTTCTCTTGGCACATTTTGTGTGCCAGGGTGACACAGGTGACTCCTTTTTCTCTTCTCCATGTGTTGACTAAATAATAGCGAGATTGTGGCAGATGATGAGGATATCATCTGAAGCTGAGAGGAAACCAAAAGGGTTAAAGGGAAATCCGTGCCTCCCCCAGTTGGTTAATTCCTCAGCAGCCTGATCCCGTGTTGAGATGATTCAGGCCAGAGAGAGGCACTGCCACAGTCCCCGGGGGAGACCCTGGAGAAAAGATTCGTATTTCCTGTCCAGGAGGATTAAGTACAAGGCCATTGACAAATCACAGTAAACATCTGGATGGAGCACTCCATCTATCAAGCCCTAATCCACAAAGCCATTCATTAATGAATTCAGCACATTCACACTGTTCTATGTATAGGGCTGGCTGATCTTTTTAAATGTTTGGCTTCTAGGTGGTTTACATCTGCATCAAGAGATTTTTTTTGGGGGGGTGAAGCAATCTACAATATTATGCTTTAGCTTAATTGTTTAGAGTAAATCTTTCACCTTTTTAAAAAAACCAACAAACAGCCTTATTTTCTGATAGTGTATAAAAAACTCAATAGCTAAAACCACGTCCCTGTATTTTATATTGCTTTGCAGTTTTAAGCCCAAGTTCCTCTGGAAACTTTCCATCACACAGGGATGGAAAAAACATTAAATAGTAATTGATTTTCTTTTCTGTATTTTGTTTTGATTAAAATGAGAATCCCTCTCATTTATCTTCAGAGAGAAAGTAAGCATTGAGTAAATGGTCTGGTTAATTCAAAAGCAATTTGATCAGAACATCCATAATTTACATTGACTGGAACAGCAGGAAAGATGCTGAGCACTACCAGATATCAAGCTTATTCATTTCAGCAGCCTACTTACACTATGCTTTACATCTTGTTCATGTAAACTGCTCTACGAACGTCTCACAACCCACATTTTATAAGGGGGGGACTTACACACCACCATGCCCTCAAAAGTCATCTCTTAAGATTGAATAACACTCCAGCCTGCTCCCAGGAAACATAGCTTTGGAGCTGAGCGTGTTGTTTTCCACACAGCTGTGCCAGTCTCCTTCCAGAGGAATTTGCAGCCTTTGTCACTGATATTGGTAGAACCAGCATTTGGCCCAGAGGGTTTTCACAAATCCAGCTGCAACAGGATATTTTCAGTTCATCCTCATAGCTTGGGACTCCACCAGACAGCATGAGCCATCCAAGCTTGCAATTTATAATTTCCTGCCCCTTTTGACTTCCAGTGCTTTGCTGTGGTGTAACCTTTAATTCCAGGGACTTGATCTTAGAGGGAAAAGCCCATTTGGTGCCTTCATTTTCTGTTAAATTCCACAAGCACATAGCTGTGCTCTCAGCTTTTTTGTCACAACAGGATGGCCCAGGTGGGTTTTCCTACTGGTATATTTTTATATATATAAATATAAATAAATAAATATTATATTATATTAAATATATATAATATGATAGACATATTTTATTATATACATTTTTATATATTATATATATTGTAATACAGAGATATAATTTTAATACAGGAGGATGTTTTCTCTCACAAACAAGTGCAATCTGAAGCAGCAACCTGCAGAGCCACTGAGCTATACCGCTGCAGTTTTTTCTTCACTGCCAGTGCAAATGCCCTCACAAGTGAATTTTGCTTGCATCAGTGCTTCTGTAACAGCTGTGCTCCATGCCAGTGTCTGTCCCTATATGGAAGGCGTGGTATTTCTGGGCAAACTCAAGCCCTCCTGTCAGTCAACTGAAAATACTTAATTTTCATCCTATGCCATCAAAGTCATACCAACAAAAAACTCTTACTCATTCAAGATCAGGCCACTCCCTCAGGCTGTGAGGAAGAGGAACAGGAATAAATCAAAGGTTTCATGTCTAGAATAAATGGTGACAGTGGTGTCTGATTAAGGTGTCAGGCGTCAGATTTGTACTTTCATGTTTTGTTACCACCTATGTAACAAAGTGGCCAGTGTCACTCCAGAATCCATTGCTCTGTCACACACAGACACAAACTCCATAGACTGCCTTTTTATAGGAAATTCCTTTTATATGCCTTTTATAGCTAAATGGCATGTTTACAAATTCATATATTTTAAGAGTAGAAAAGCATTGAGTAGTCTCATTCAGATTTTGTGCTGATTTCTAATTTTTAAGCAGTCATGAATCAAGGAAAATCAAAATACATGATGCTTATTCTGGTATAAAATTATGACTGAACTTAGTTACTACATTCTGAAAACATTAAAGTCAGGGGAAACTGAGGCTGAAACTTACTCATGTATAGGAAAAAGAGCATTAGTTTGCTTTGTGAGCGCAGATAATTTAGCCAACTGCAGGAAATGTTCTACCATGAAACTAGAGGGCCAAATGTACTGATGGGTTTAAGCAGGAGAGGGCCATAAATGAATCATTAAGTGGACAGGAATAATGAAACAGCTTACTTGCATGGAGTCTTCAGCTCTGGAGAGCCCCCAGAGGAAACCCTCCACATGAATATGTTAGATACACAGCAGATCCCATTTTCCTGTCTTTCCAAACAAAGGGAGGGATGAAGGATCCACCCAGGGATTTGCTACTTAAAATTCTGACAAAAGTAGAATTCCATTAAACTCCAGTATGCAGAAGTGTCACTATTTACTTATTAATTAGCATGGAAAAATATTTGGCAGGAAGAAAACCAACTAGCACAGATGCAGTGATTTTCATACTCACCAATGACAATCAGAAGAGAGACTGCTCAAATCAAAGGAAGGATATTTGTGATAGGTCCTTGTGACAGTGTGAACAAGTCCCTTGTGGCTGGCTGTGTGTGAAGGGGAGGAGGGTGAGGAATGGCAGAATGCTGTTTTATCTTCCATGTGTGTGGAGGGGCTGAAGGAAACTTTTGGGGTATGAACACAGAGCAGTGAGGAGCAAGTTGAATTTATTTTTTGTAGCCACTTGGCGCCAGATTGGTGTAGGGCACACAGGTCTTTTGGGGTACATCCATTTGCTAGGTTCAGGCTAGCTCTAGTCCTCTGGACATTCCCAGTGGAGTTGGACTTCTTTATATTTCAGCTGGATTTGCCTTGGCAACAGCAATGCACCATTTCACTAATTCCAACCCTCTCCTCCAACACCTCTGTATTTCACAAAATACCACTACTCTGTAATACCTGTTTTAATCAACTGAGCAGGATTCAATCAATAATCACCACTTTGTAGTTTAATTAGGACTTTCAAAGCACTACCACATCAAAATTCTAACAGTATTTAACAGTCTGCAGATGAATATAAGTGCCAGATTCTAGCTGTAATTGATTTAGGAGAAAAAAAATAGAAGCCAATTAGTGATATCTTAAAATCAATGGAGCTATGCAGCTTTGCACTACTCAGTGAATTTATTTTATACATTTTGTATTAATTCTTATACAATTAGGTAGTGGAGGTGGTTGCTTATGGTGTTGTTCAACTCCTTGTGTTTGACAAGAAGCAAAATTTAAAAATAACAGTATTAAAAAGAATAACAAATTGGAGAAAAAAAGTTATGAATAGGGAACATCAATCTATTCTTTCTAGTTCAATTATGGTATCTATAAGGACCAATACCAAGTATCTTCAGGCATTAAAATACTCTATTGGTATGAGAGCAACCAAAGAGAAATAAGCATTCCAGAAAATGGGACATGGTGACTCTTACTACACCAGTTTCTTATTAGGATTAAAGTGCTAATAATGCCTTCTTTAGCTTCAGGACAGTGAAGACACCTGTCCAGACAGACAACCTAATGTCCAGTTTCCTTTCTGCTTATAATTATATGAAGTTAAACCACCAGGACCACCTCAGGCCTAGCAGGAGCTTCCTTAGCAGGACAGGGTGGGATGCAGTGTACAGCAGAGCGCATCCTGCAGTCCCTGTGGATTCCTGGCTGTTGCTACTACCTGGACATTGATTTCCAGGCTGGAGGCACATGACCCTGCCTGATCTACAACACCAAGCTGAGATAGTTTTGTGGATGCAAAGAAACCCTCTACAGCCTAGGAAATGAGGCAGGGAGTTGTAGCTGGCTGCTGGACCTGGGACACTGAGCTAAAGATGAAAGGGAAAAAGACCTTATCTGGCAAATGTCCCAAAGCCTGCTATGCTGGTGACTACTTGTTTTAGCTTGGCCTCATCTTAAGTGTGCTCCTCAGCTCCTTAATCCCTGAGTTTACATCATTCCTTTCTTCTCCCTAAACTGGGATATTTGAAGGCAAGACATGAGCCTCACACACACTCACAAGATACATTTTCTTCCTAAGACCACATCACAAGCAGCAGAGAACATGCACGTTCATCAGTCTGTGCTGTCTGTCCTCTTTGATTTCCTTTAAGTCAGCTTTTCCCGCTTTCTCCTAATGTAGGTCCAATAGTAGAAGTGTAGGAAGAGAGCTAGGAGGCTGAGGATGTAGACGAAGACTGCAGTGTTGAAGCCATCAGGGAATGGGCACTCTGTGAAGAGGTTGTAGGAAGAATGAGCAGCAATGGCTACCAGCTGGCACTGGAAGAGGTGGAAAAAAGAAGCAGCCAGATTAAGGAACCTACATGAGATACACCTCAGCTGGACATTGAGACCATCACAGCTATCACAACATCCTAGCAGTGTCCTCAACCCAGAGGATCACCTGCTTGCCCCTCCTGACAACCCTGGGAACCTGCCTCTCAAGCCCAGCAATGTTTTCTTACCAGGAAAGATGTCCATCAAACCTGAAGGTTTAACCAATCCAGCCTCTCCTGCCCTTGGCCCATTTCTCTGCCACAGTGCAGTAACTGAGATGTTGGAATATGGAAACTGAAGGTGGGAGATTCCTCTTCCCCAGTGGTAATCAGGTTAGTATACCCACAATTATTTTCATTTGTATTTTAGCTTGCAGAGAGGAACTCCAGATACTACCTTTATTCATTTAAACATTAATTTTTTTTTTTTTGTATTTTACTAAGTCACCTGTCTCAACAGCCTGAAGCAATGAGTTCTACCTACCTAAAAGCTATTAATTTTTTTTTTTTCCTGTGCTATAATTTGCATTACAAATACATTTTTATTTCATGCAATGCTTTCTTGTTCTGCTTTGCCATGCAGGCTAAGTCAGAATTCCAGATCAGCCTCCACTACACCACTATTTTACACATATTCTCTTTCTCTTCCCTTCTAACTGCATACTTTTGGTTTGCAAAACCTCTTTTTGAGTGAAAAAAACTCTCCTACAACTATTGTCCTTGTCTGGACCATTGCATCTATGCTGTATCTTTGAAAAACACAGGGTTTTCCAGATTTGTAACTTCATCAGAGATGAGAGAAAGAAAATCCAAGGGGATTTTCTAGAGAAAAATTCACATATTTCTTTTGAACCCACCTGTTTGCATGCACTTAGAGACCCTCTTCCTTTCTGAAGGAACTGAATCAAGGCTCCCCAATCTGCTGCCCTATTGAGAATGCAAAGTTTCCCTGAACCGCAGCCCCCACCTCTTCATATCAAGCGCTGTTTTCAGTGCTCCTTATACAACATAAAAAGGAAGAATCCAATTGCTAATTTTTCTCTTCCCTTCCCATTGTGAAGCTGTGGATAATTAGTTTGATATGGTCACTGAAGACCTCCAACAGTCCTGTGAAAGCAGCATTTGGAGCAGGTCACCCACAGCTTCAGGTCTCAGAGTGGCACCTGAGGGCACCTGAGGACATGCTGCTCTCCATGGGCAGCAAACAGAGACTGAGGCAGTGAGGTGACAGACAGCAGGGGCCATCACACCCATGGGAGGGCAGGGAAGAACACCTGGAGCTAATTACCAGCTGCAGGATGGTCAGGTAACGCTTCCACCACAGGTGCCTGTGCATCCGCGGTCCCAGGCTGGCCAGGGTGTAGTAGCTATACATGAAGATGTGGACAAAGGAGTTCAGCATCCCAATAAAGAAGGCTGAGGAGGGAAGAAGTGAGGGTGAACGAGGCACATGACCCATTCTAGGCTAGCCCTATGAAGGGCTCACAGCCGCTATGATGATGCTTCCAAAATAGATCACATCCACCCCGTGCATGAACATTCCACCCGGGCTCTGCTGTGGAAGCACACCAGCTTCTCCCTTCCTTCAGCATCCAGAATCATCGGATGGGTTGGATTGGAAGGGACCTTAGAGGCCAAACTGCTCCAGCCCCCAGAGCACATCTCGCACTAGAATTGCCCAAAGCCCCATCTAACCTGGCACTGAACACTGCCAGGGTTGTGGCATCCACAATATACCCATCATATACCAAGTATTCAGAGACAGAGAAGAGCTTCAAAGGCAGAGAAGGGACATGATCATCTGACCTAAGCCATTCTGGTGTCAAGGCTGTGTAGCCAAAATGACTTCCCAAAAAAGAATTCCCTAGCATTTTGTATAGGGCCTACTGAGAGTAGTGCCCAGATGCTTCTTTTTCTGTTGAGTAAAACGGGGCAGCATTCTGGATACAGCCCAAAAATGGGCACAGCCAGAACAGGAAACAGAGCCAAAACCTGGGCTGCTGCCCCAGGGCCTCTGGTAGGGGAGTGAGGGAGCACTGCTCTGGGAGGAGATATACACAGACCTGTATGATGTTATTTTTGTCTGTTTGGACCCACTCTGATGGCACACTCTCATTCTGGGTGAGGCAGTGAACATGTCAGCCTAAATAGCCCCAAGAGCTGAGCAGATGGGATCATCTAAAATGCACATGCTTTTCTCACCTTTGGAAGCAGGTGAACTTCCTACCTGCCACTCAGCCCATCTGCACTGTTAATGCTACCTCCAGAGCCAAAAAAACCATGAGAAACACCAGGTTGTCTCTTACAAGCATACCTTGTCCTCCAGGCACGTATTTGACCCCTGACCACCAGTTGAAGAGCATAGAGCCATGATGGTACACGTGCAGAAAAGTCACCTGCTCTTGTTTCTTGCGCAGAATTAAGAAAACCTGAAAGAAGCCAGGCAAAGGAAAACTTTGAATTGATGTGTTTAGACAAAAATTTCACAGTAAAAAGTTATACAAATAGCTAATGATGAGTCTGAATCTCCCACACACATTTCCTCTGCTGTTGAAAAAAACTGGTGAAACGCAATAGAACTTATAGGGGGAACTGGAAGATAGAATTTCTTCCACAAAGCCCCAAATATTTTTATGTCTGGATTCAGGGCCCAAAGTCCAAAGAGGATCTGAGACTCTGACTGAGCTTCCATACAATTCACAGCTGCTTGTGTTTGCTCCTTTTCAGGACACAGGTTGTATATTTACTGCTACCAGACAATAATCCACAAAAAAAACCACTGTGTTGAATGGCCAAACCTTCCTGGAATTTGCATTAGTAAAGAGAATGGTTTTGCCAGATGAATACATGTCAGGTCACTACATTTCACCATGTACATACATACACACACAACAAAAAGTGAATCTAATTTTCAGGCACTCAGGACTGGCAAAAAGCTGGTTTTGTTGCTGATGCAAACAGAGAGGGAATTGGCCAAACCCCTGGCAATAGACCTAGGAAGAATCCACATGTTTATTGACATTTCAGTGGGTTGCAAACTTACACCCCAAGGAGCTGTGAAGTTTCAGGCTAGGACACAGCTTTCTTCTGCTGGCCAAGCAGAGGCCACTTAGTTCATTTACATTGCAGAAGGAGACCTGAAGACAAGCCATAAAGAGGTGGACTTTCAATTCCCCCAGGACATAAACCTTTAGCGCACAGCTCTGGGATAATCCATGGCAGCAGAGACGCCAGAACTTGTCCACTTGCAGCTCCTTTTTTGCCCCACTGTTAATCAGCCAGCCAGGCAATAGCAGAACCTGTGTGGCACCAGCAGATAAAATTTTGGCGGCCCACCTGGCAGCAGCCAGGGTTAAAGCCCCTCCCGTAGCACTGTGCCCAGCCTCAGTTAGGATGCTGAGGAGGGAGTGTGTGCAGCCAAGTGATGGAGACAGGCAGCGAACCAACACAGGATCAGCCCAGGACATCAGCTCTGGCACGCTGCCCCTTTCTGACAAGGAAGTATCTGTTTCCAGCCCCGGTCCCGCTGAGGAGCCGAGCCCTCCTTACCGTATCCAGCAGCTCGATGATTTTGGAGAAGAAGAACCACCAACACACTCTTGCCATCTGCTGGGCAGCACAAGACACAGCGGTGAGAGCTTTACCCAAAATCTACACATTTTCAACCATGCTGTATCCCTGCCCGCCCGGGGTCTGCAGCAAGGGGGAAAATTAAGAGGTTCTTTTCGGTTTTTTGTTTTGTTGTTTTGTCTTTTTTGTGTTTTGTTTTGTTTTGTCTAGATGGCAAGACTCTGAAAAACTGAAAAGATAATATGAGGCTTACATCTGTTCAAAGCAAGGTACTGTAACTCCAAATTCAAAGAGAAAAAGCTCATGCAGCATTTTTGGAAAGCTGATGCTAGTAGGACACAACCCCTTGTGATGACCAAAAAATAGTTTTAGCTAAGCCCCTCTACTAAAAGAAGTGTTGAGTAAGATTTTTGTCATGCAAGGCAGAGGATATAAAAATCAGTTTTCTTGTTGGAAGCAATTGCCCAGAATCCTTACAATCCATGTGAAGAATCACATCTATTTCAAAGGTAATTTGCCATATTGATACTTCAGCTGGTAAGATCACCCTCTTTGCAGTGATCAAAGAGCAAACTTAGATGGCTGGGTTGACTGAGATGATTAATTTTAGAGAGCTAAAGCAAAGTGCAAGAACTGTTGAAGCAGACAATTTAGTGGAATAGATTTACAGGCAACAACAAGCTGGGGTCAAAGCCTTCTCAGCCATGTAAATTGCTATTTATGAGCAAAAGAATCTGCATAGCTATGGGAGGAAAGGGCCTAAGGCAAGCTTTCTCCAGAACTGTACCCTCATTCCCAGCTCACTCCGGCTGTAATCCACTGGCTGGCACAGGTAGCTGTAGTTGGCCAAGACTGAAGTAACCAGAAACTGAAACAAATCAAAAGCAAATAAAAATCCATCTGATCTAAAAAAGAAGGACAATTTAATGCTAAGGTAGTAGGGTTTTAGTCTTATAGCTACTGCCAGAAAATCCATGAACAAATAGTAAAAACCTTAAACAAAGTACTTCACATTCTGTTTGGAGTCTTAAAAAGTAAATTTGGCCTGGGAAGATTTGTGTAATGGCTGGAGGGCTCACAATTATTTCAGCAGTAATAGTGAATTCTAGGCTTCTGAGGCTCTCTGAGAAGACACTATTCTCCTTCGCAAAGATCCCAGGCTGTTCTGTTCTGTTTTGGTTGAATTTGCCTGTTCATTGGGAAGCCAAAAATTGGACCAAGTAATTAGTATAACTGAATAACCAAGCACAGAAAAGCAATTTTCACACCTGTCCTCAGATGGAGCAGAATTTGTTAAAAAAAAAAAAGGCAATTTGTATTAATGTAATGCTTGTGATACAAAGTAAAACAGCATATTTGTTGGCATCAGAGTGTTTTTGAAACCTATTTTGGCCTTGTTCCCGTGAATATTTTCAGTGGTCTACATAAACTAGGTGGGACAGGCTTGTGGAAAGAACAAGCAGAAAAAAATGTTCTTTACACTCTCAGCAGCAGGAATACATAGAGTGCTTGGCACTCCTGGAGAGAACTGCCAACTTTGGAAAATCACAGAATGTTAAGGGGTTGGAAGAGACCTTAAAGATCATCTAGTCCCAGCCCCCTGCCTTGGGTAGGAACACCTTCCACTAGACCAGTGGTTCTCATCCTCAGAGATGGATCCATCACCAGCCAAACTCAAGGTGAAATGAGGCCATTCCACATCCTCCACACACTCTGTGCCTAATGGGGAGATCTCAACTTGCAAATCATTCATTCAGGATGAAGGGAGTCCCGTGTTATTTTCATGAATGGCCGGAGGATTGAGAAATTGAGGAAATCAAGTACAGCAGGACAACACTGCTCCTCTTGTGGTAAAACATGGACATGTCCAAGCCAGCTCCCACTCCCTTCAGCAAAAGCTGTTCAAACCCTGGAATCTGGAGGCTCTGGAATTCAAACCCTTCTCATGTGCTTACCTAGGAGCCAATCCTGCCTCCTCACCTCGTAGAACATGTAGCTCGATAATGCCACCATGGCCAGGTTGTAGGTGAGCAGCAGAGCCCGCAGCTCCAGCCGCTGCCGCTGCCGCATATAGGATGGCCCCAGTGCCACCATGAAGAGGTAGGAGGTGAAGATCAGGGTGACAGGAAGTGGGGAGTACACCAGTGGCCACAGGTCTGTCCTTGCATCTGGGAAGCAAAACACACAGCCACAGCTGGCACCATATATTTAATTGTATTTAATTACTCCCTTCAGTGTGCTTGCTGGAGAAAGAAAATGGTGTCTCTGTGTCTTTACAGAGATGCGCCCCAGTCCTTCTGCTGTGACTTTGCCAAAAGGCTTTAGCACAAATGTTTTAGCCCAATTTTTGGGGATGGACTGCAGTAGTGGAAGGCAGATGGAATGAACTGGAGCCCTCTCTGGGCAAAAGGAGTGATCCCAGACACTGAGCAGGGTGGCACAGGAGCAGCCAAAGCAACAGTGGCTCCTCAGGAGCGTAAATCTTTACAGCTAAATAATAGAAGTGTTTCAATCACTGGTGTTACTTCCTTAAAATCCTTAGGACATCTGAAATTCTCCACTTCTTCATTTTTATACCCGCACATAGAGTGGACTCTCTTCAGAATCATGAATTCACTGGGAAATGCCAAAACACTTACCCCTGCTGAAACAGCTCTTTGGTCCTACACCAAAGGGAAGCTCAAGAGATCTTCTGTCATGCCACCTCCTCCTCCTAATCCTGCTATCACCCAGGATATGTTATATCAGCAAAAATGTCCCCAGGTGCTATTCATGCTTTCCTTTCCTGTTCCCAGTGTGATCACTACTCTGCCAAACTCCCTCATTTTTTTATAAATACCATACCAGTCTGGACAACTCTGTTAATCCCCATCCCTTCTAAACCTCACAGTTCTTTATGATGGCTGTGTCAGGAGCTCTTTGATATTCCATTTCTGAATTTAGTTTGTCAGAAGTCCTGAATCTCAATTTACACTCTTGTAAAATTCAAGTCCTGAAACATCTACAATCTGAGCATTATACCCCACATCCTCCTCCTGCCAAATCCATCATGCAGGCCTGCTGGTCTACCTTCATGGCATTTTGTAGCTTTTCTTTACATCCAGAGATAAAACAGAGCCCTTTGGGACCAAACTGAACCTCTAACTACTGAAGATCTGATGTCTCCTCATGGCAAGGTATCAAATTTCAAGCACTGAGGAGTGGATATTGTCAATATTTCATTTGATAACAGGTTTTACTGGCATCACAAAGAATTTAAACCCCAAAGTATTAATTCTTTGGTCAACTAAGCTTTCCCATGACACATCAATATGCATTTAAAAAAATAATTTCCATTAGTACTCCAGACTTAACAGGCAATCCCAAGCATCTATTGCTTCTCTTGTCAGAACCCACTGGGAAATCCCCCATCCCTTCATTCCTTACTGTGATCCAACTGGAGGGTCAATGAGATATGTTTCAAGACTTAAAGGAAGCTTGTAATCATGGAGAAGGAAAAGTGGAAATCTACCTACTGAAGAAAATGTGGGCAAGTATAATGATTGCATTCCTCCTAGGTTTGGTTTTCATGATCCCTCTATTTATGCAGAAATTCCCATTTTAGACAGCATCTCTACCTACCTCCACTTTCAAGAATCCAGTTGTAGAATTCCTGAGTTTTCTGCCAAGTTGAAGCCATCCCAAGTTCTGGAAAGAAATTAACTCAACTGAGTCTAGAGTAAGGAGGCTCCTTACACAAAGGCTCAGGACTACAGCTAATGAAAATGCAATAGTTAGCTTTCTAAAAATTTAACTTTTAGATCAGGATTAAAGTTCCCTTTAAAAAAGGATGAAAGAGAACATCCCACCCCCCACCCCAC